GGTTAAGCCAGCCCCTTAGGGGGCGGGCTTGCCTCGGGCGAATGTTTACTTATAAATCAGGTGGGCGGGAGGCCACACGCCCCTTCTGTTTCCTGTTCTCTTCGGGAACCATGGTACTGTAAGTCTAATTTCACCATTAAAGCTGTGTATATTTTTTTTTACAATCTGTCTGCATTCATTTACGCTGCAACATGCAGTGAACCATTTTGTGACACAAGGATTGTCATTGACTTTCAGGATTACTGGGTGTGCTAGCTAGTATTATGTCAACTTAACACAAGCTAGAGTCACTGGAGAATAGGGAGCATCAATTTGAAAATATCTCAATTTGTAGTCTTGATTAGTAATTTATCTGGGATAGCCAAGTGCATTTTTAGTGGGGACACCCTTCTGTAGGTGGTCCTGGGTTCTATAAGAAAATAGCCTGAGCAAGCCATAGGGAGCAAGTGAGGAAGCCGTACTCCTCCATAGCTTCTGCACCAGCTCTTGCCTGCAGATACCTGTCCTGACTTCCTTCAATGATGAACAGTGATATGGAAGTGTAAGCCAAATAAACCTTCTACTCTCCACATTGCTTTGGTCATGGTATTTCATCCCAGCAATAGTAACACTAACTAAGAGGCTGGGGTTAGATAAAACTAAAGATTGTGTTGTGTAATGGAGAATTGACAGGAGGGTACTGTCTCAGAAGAAATGATCAGATTACCATCAAAAAGTAGGAACTGATGGCAAAAGACTAAGACATTGAGACAGTAGTTCAGCCATGTGAAAGTTCTAGGATATCTGTAGAATACTTTGAAATTTGATTAATATCAAGTGCTCAGAGACTATGTGGAAGAATTTAGACAAAGTTAGAGGGGATATTTAGATAATACACCTAGGTGAGACTCAGCAGTGAGGAAACCTCTAGATGGTGAAGAACAAACATTTAGTTCTAAGACATCTGATGTTGACCTTTCAGTGGGGTCAGAAAACTGCAGAAAGCACCAATGCAGTGTGCACAGATGGGTACTGTGGAGTCTCTGTTTGATAATAAATAGTGTGTATGGTGACTCAGGGAGGGAGAGAATAGGAGCTAATTCACGTATCACTTAGGAATGTTTGTTTTTTCTGTTTTTACTACTGTTGAAAAAAAAGGAAACTATGGACCATTAAAAAGCTTGATTACCAGTAATGAATGTAGAAATCTGCCAGGCTTTGTGATTTGGGGGAGGGGCTCCTAGAAGGATAATGTTGATTGAGTATCTAGAAAGAAAATTGGATTGTGAATGCATGTAGACTGATAGTTTATAGTATTAGCAGTTTTCTTCTAGGGTAAGGCTCAGTGTGTTCCAAAAGGAAGCCTATTAAAGCACAGGAAGTTCCTCAAACCCACCAGATGTGCAAGCCCCAGCATTCTGCAAGGTTATGTAAGCAATGAGGACTGCAAGGAGCTTGGAAGAGTCCCAGACCAGCAGACCTACCTAAAAGACACACTCTGATCTGCTGAGCTTCCCATATGTCATCAATGTGCTCCATGCTTATAGGTTTTGTGATATTCCCCCCATGCTGTATAGAATTCTGTTGATGCAGCTTCTTTAGAATCACCCTTACCCACAATCCTGTAAACAATCCCAATAAACTCTTTTGTTCCCCAAGTTGGACCTTTGTGTTTTCCTATCAGGGTTGAGTAGTCATTGGTTCACAGCTCCATAGGAATAGTGTCACCCAACAGCACCTAAAAACAATGTAAGTATTTTATTTCTAATGTATTATTATGTAGTTTAAACATGAATATAAGTGACTACAATTCTAACTTGTCAGTGATCAATGAGACAGAGTGAGGTTGTGACCTCAGAGTCTTGGAATTTGCAAAAAGACAATTAATTCACAAAGAAGGGTTGATGTGGGATTCCCCTCTGTGTGCTGTGAACACCATTTATTAATAAGAAACTGCTTTGTACCTATCGCAAGGTAGAACTTAGTTAGACAGGGAAACTAAACTAAATGCTGGGAGAAGGAAGGCAGAATCAAAGGAGAAACCATGGAGCCACCGCCAGAGACTGATATGCTATAACCTTGCCGGTAGGCCATGAGCCTCATGGTAAAATCTAAAATAATGGAGATGGGTTAATTCTAGATGTAAGAGCTAGCTAACAATATGCTTAAGTAGTTAGCCAAGCAATGATTTAATTAATATAGTTTCTGTTTGGATATTTCAGGGCTTAGCAGCTGGGAACAAACAAGCAGCCTTACTACAACAAATTGGCACTCCAGTGTGGTTGACTATATCCATGTAAAACCTGAGAGGACATGGAAGGGAATTCTAGACACTGAAAAAAACAAAATTTAGCTACATTTTTTTTTCAGATCAGCTCTGTTTGCTGGCCATGGCTCCTTTAAGGGAACTTTTTCTGATTCAGTAGTAGGAAAAAACAAACAAACAAACAAACAAAAAGCCCAAAAACAAAAATCAAAAACAACCCGAAATTGCAGTTCTTGAACTGTGCTGCCAGCACAAACTCTGACTCTTTCAGGAGGCCAAGCATTTAATAGAGTTTGTGAGAAGAGTGCTATAACTTTCTTAATGTCAACATAGACCTGCTGTGTGCCTGAAAATAGGGCTGCGAGCATGACTTACACTAAAAGACCTCTGCCTCTCCATGTTGGACTTGATGGAGCCAAAAGGCAAAACAGCCTTGGCCCTTAGTCATGCTAAGGCTTAGCATTTTAAGAAGTACTTCTGGTCAGAAAAGGATTACAGATACATAATCAGATAGATTCAGATAACAAAGACCTCTAAATAGCTTACAGTTTTGATAAAAGTATGCGGTCTTTAGAGAGAAAAGGAAAAGAATATGGACAGTTATAAAAAGAAGTAAATGGTTTAGAAAAAAAATAAAGTCTTTAAAGAGACAGAGTACAGACAGTCATGGATTAAAGGAGTAAAGGTAATAAAATAAATATTTAAAAATAATAGATTTAAAACAAATAAGTCACATAAAGATGGAATATATACATATATATTGTATATATGTTGTATACTGTGAGAGAGCTAAATAACCAACATATATACTTTAAAGGTATCTTGTCTTCAGAATTTGAGTCTAAGGATATGTCACTTTGGAAAAGAGGTTCTGCTTTTGTTTACACAGAAGATGAGGACCTGTGAATTTCTTCTAGACTAATGTGATTTGATGGGCCAAGATCCCCTGAAAGGTTGCCATAAACACCCCCAAAATGTTATTTTGCCAATCCTAAAGCAGGAAGCATTTTGGATAGAACTATGCCCAAATTCCCTAAATGATTGTTTACAAATGTTTGCTTACTTTTAAAGGGGTATATGCTATAGAATCTTGCATTGGTATAGATTTTGGTTTATTGATACAAATTTAAGGTCAGTTTTGTTATACTGTGTATATGTATATTTTTGCTCTTGATTAAGGTATTGTGTTTGTGCAGCTCATTTGAAAATGTAATGTATAATTGGGAAATGTAGGTTAATAGATAATCATCTATAATAGTCAAGTTTTTTGTTATGTTATTAGATTTTCTAGATGTACAGAGGTGTATTTTAGATAGATAGGTATTCTTCAAACCTTTCAAGGACTATAGAATATGGCATTTAAAATGTTTTAAGAATTTAGGACTTATCATGACAATGAGGCACATCTGCTCCTGGCAGGACCAATCTACTTCAAGAGAAAGATGCTCATTGACGAGGCTCCTTATGGAGTTGGTTAGCCATTTGGGCAAGCAACTGCTCTTGCCTGAACTGCTTGATGCTATGCTGTATGAACTGGACAGTAAGAACCCACAGAGAAATGACTACAGAACTTGCCTAAAGGTGAGATGTTTCTTCAGGGTTCCTGCTTCATGAAAGAGTCTGCCAGACATTCTGCAGGACACAGAGGAAAGTGACTGACAAACTGCCAATATAGGTAGAATTATCTTTGAAATTTCCTGCTTCATGGAAAAGTCTGCTTTTCCATGGATACTGTGGGCCTGTAGGCTGAAGATGGATGCCCCAATGATACAGAAGAACTTCGGGTGACTGTACAGGCAGCAAAATGTCTATCTCAATTCTAGAGTTTTGAAAGTTACTTACAATGCACTTTCTGTTTACTTAGGTAATGTTATATCCTTCTGGAGTCTTTTAATGAAGTTGAAGAATTTATATTTTCCTTAGTTATGGTAAAAATAAAGTAGATATAAATATTATAACTATCATTCTTGCTTGATACCTGTTTTGTTGTATGTAATTTTACTATGTTAAAGTTAAAACCTTTCTTTTTATTTAAACAGAAAAGGGAAGGAGATGTGGGATTCCACTCAGTGTACTGTGAATACCATTGATTAATAAAGAAACTGCTTTGGACCTATAGCAAAGTAGAACTTATTTAGGCAGGGAAAACTAGACTGAATGCTAGGAGAAGGAAGGTGGAGTCAAAGGAGAAGCCATGGAGCTGCCACCTGAAACATATATGTTGTAACCTTGCCAGTAGGCCATGAGCCTCATAGTATAATATGATATAATATTATATAATACAATATAATATAAACAACAGAAATAAAATATAAATATATATAAAACAAGCAACCTTACTACAACAAAGGATGTCCAACAGCACACCTAAACTTCACAGCCCTGAGGAGTGTGTCATGTTCAGGAGTTTTATGTGCCCCTCCCATTACAGTGATGCACATCAAAGGCCATCTTCATGTTTAAGGAGGCACTGTTTCACATCACTGCTTTCCAGAGAGGAGGATGAGTTCACGAATGTCTCCATATTGGGAGAATAGTCTTGGATAGAGGATGCTATCAGGAATCTTGCATATTGTGCAGAAAATTAAAATTATTTGAAATACTAATGATTATATTTTAATTAATACAACGTATATTTACTATTCAACGAGTATGCTGACAAGACGTTGCTTAAAATTTTATTAATTCATTTAGATATCTTTGGTAAATGCTTTAATGAAAAATAAAAACTACTGAATAAAATTTCTTCATATAGGGTACAACCTATGAGGATGAAATTAATACTATCAAACGTGTTATTTCAAGGATTAATGGAATTATGGCTCATAATTCACCAGTGTTGATTGTTCAAAGATGGATACGTGGTTTCATAGTTAGGAAACACTTAAGGTATGTTTCCTTTTCTTAATCATCTGAATGTTGAAATGAGATAAAAATATCAAGTTTAAGAAGCAAATTCTAGAATAATTTGCACCTTTGTAGTTTCTGTTCTCAAAATAATATTTACACTATACTTGAGCTGTATAAAGGTCAATAACAAAAATACCATATTATGACACATAGTCAGAATTTGATGCCTTTATTTGTATTTTTAATTGACTATAAAGTAATTTCTAAGTACAAATTTTGCAATTTTTGAATACTATGATATTTTTATTAAGATTTAATGATGCCAACCATGAACCTATGTTGAAATTTTCTCTTGTTAGAAACATAGTCATAGTTTTATGTTTATATGTATATATTATCATATATACTTATATATGATAAAATGGTGGCTTTCTCCTCTATATAATTCTACAAGGTGGTAATAGAAGTCATAATACAATATATGTATATATATTTATTTATAATAAGGGTATATATGTAAATAATATAAAATAAGTTTATATACCTTAAAAGTATAAGAAGATTTTAGGTTTTATTGGAATCTTTTGTTAATGCACTCAGGACTGTGTTTTTTGTCTCAGAATCGAGGCCCCCTCTGCTACTGCTATAACCTGAGATAATATCCCTGTTGACTGGACATTGCTCATAATCCCAGCACGTGTAATCAGAGTCTCAGTACTGTGGAGAGGGTGTGAGTCATAAAAAGAATCTCTGTGTCCAGGCCAGACTGTTTTGAGAGCTCTTTCCTTGAAGATCTCTTCCATTAGGCACGTCATGTTACTGCTCTAAGCCAGCGTTTCTTCATTTGTAAACGGTAAAGAGCAGGGCTAATGGCAGTGCTCATGCACTTGCTTGTAGGAATTGAGAGAATGAATTTAACATGCCAGCACCAAGCAGAAGTGGCCACTACTTTAGCATTAGGTACTCCTGTAGACGCACCCCTACCATTGTTTCTGGGCTATCTGCACTATCTACATCTGCGGAAAACGTGCCTGGGATGCTCCCCCTTTGGCCTTCGTGTTTCCTCAGCACACAGGATGACCTCGTCAGACTGGAGTTCTAATCTGTTTATTCTCCAATTCCAAATCCTCTAGTGCCTCCAAAGGTACCTAGGGACAATTTCTCAATGACAAGTTCTCACCATTCATGTTACACTGCAACTGTCTGGATCTTGATCTGTCAGTTCCCTGAGAGACTCCGTTTCTGTGTTCTGCTCTGGGTCTCTAGAACAAAACAGGGCTTGGACCATTGAGTGATCACAAATTGTGAAATTGATGAACACAATAAATGAACATCCCATGAGATCTGGGATCATCTGTTTCTGGATCAGTCTACGGGAGAGTGAATGTACAGACTAGGAAACAGCAAAAATGAGCGGCACCAAAGAGAGGCATTACCACAGCCTGGGGTCCCTACCCACCCCAGCATCTTAGTCCTGAGAAAGGCCTCCTGACAGCAAGGCATTTCATTTTCCTTAAAGGTTTTCTTTTAAAATGCCTAAATACCATCCACTTTCCCTCAACCCCAAGTGTAGACTGAGCCTAGACTTATTCCGGGTCCTATAGGTTAGAGTGGAAACTCTTCCGGTACACAGATGCTGGGGTGAAGCATCTTAGCAAATAGGCAGAGGCCTGTACCTGACTGGCATCCAGACTGAGGTCATAGGGAAGATGGAGGAGACTCTAGGACACGGATTTAAGCAATGTGCAGTTCATGTTAGAAACGGGTCCATCCACTTCATGTGTCTAGTTTGTAACCAGATCTTTGCAATGGTGTCTGTATTGGTGTCTGTACTGCACATCAGTGAGCTGCTGCGTGGCTCACTGGTGGGTGTTTATGAAGAAAGGGCCTGTGTCGAATCTGTAGCTTGTGGCTTTGTTGCATGTGTGCTGAGTCCTGTGCACCTTGACCTTCTGTTTTTTTCTTCCCACTCCTGTCACTGAGTATCACCAGAGACCTCCACTTCTCTCAGACAGGAGTGACATTTAAAGAGTAAGACGTAGGAGCTGGATGTGTTGCGTGACCATGGGTCATCCTGGTTCCTAAGCCATGTCCAGAGACTCAGTGTAGAATGGATCCTGCTTTCCAGAATGACTTCATGTGATAATCCCCCATACAAGGTTCTTCTCTGCCTTCATTGAAGACTGTCCCCCTCTTCCTCCAGGAGAACTGTGATTATCAATTTATCAGAAATTTCAAGCACTAGTTACTCCTACAGTATGAACAAAGCACTTGGAGAGTCATAAGTGGCCACTGCTGCCAGCAGCGCACTCAGTGAGGCTGCAGACCCGCTGCATGTTTGAACGTGTTTAGACGGAAGAACGATGCGGAACACTTGTTTCATTTGTCACAATGGTATTAGCTCCTTACTTAGTGATTCTCTCTCCTTAGATTGATGAATATTTTATTTTAATTTGTTTTTATTAGAGCACTTTCCATCATGTTTCCTGATAATCATGCCCCTTCTCATTTAGGTTGAATGGATTTTAAAGTGCTGATCCCTCTCTGCACTCGACCCTCATTTTCTGAAGTCGCCTGATTCTAGTTAGTGTTGCTTTCTGAGTCCTGAGCAATTTCATGCTATTTTGTGTAGTTCATTTCATGGTAATAGGTTGTTTTTTCCCTTTTTAAATTATGCTTTTTTCTCTTGATCTTCCTCTCATTGTCAATAGCGATCCTATTGTTCTCTGTTTTCTGCTTGTCCTTTACTATGTACACATCTTTATGAGATTGGATGGATTTCCTGATCTGTAAGAAGATTCCTTTGTGTTTATTGTCCTGAAGCTTTCCCCTCTATGGTGTTGCAGTGTCTAAAATATATCTGTCCTTCAGGGACCTTTGGCTGGGGTCCCACCATCTCCTTTCTTCTGTGTACCTCCTTCCAATTTGATATTTCCCATCTTAATTTTAAGTCTTTCCCCAGGTACTTCCTATGACCTTTGAGTTTTGACCTAGAATTGAACTGTGGTTAATATCAGGACTTCATAATAAAAAACATTGCAAATCCTATTCCCTATGCTTCATCTCTTGCATTGAATACATTATGGTGGTTCAGCGTTCTTAAGTTACCTCTCCAGGCTTGTTGGGAGTGTGTTTCTGTCTTCTTTCTCTTTATCACCTGCCTTAGTTCTTCCATCTGTCTCCTACTTTCTGCACTCCAGAGTCTTGCAGGTATCATTTTTTAAATCACCATCATTCATACTTTATGTTTTCAGAGAATAACATTTTATACTTAAAATATCCTGTAGTTTTGAGAGTAACAGTTAAGGAAACTGTTATTTAAGCATAGTCAGAGTTTATAGGTTAATTCAAATAGCTGATTTCCGGTGGTTGCATGTTTCTTGTGTATAAAATAGGTAAAAGTGTCAGGTATAGTTTCATACAGTTTCATAAAATAAAGGTCATCTTATTTAGAGAAGACTGTTTGCTACTGTAGTCTGAACTGTGTCATTACTAGTTCCTTTGATAGACAGGGCCATATGGCAAGAGCCTTTTGAATGCTAGGTTTTTAATTAATTAGATTTTAGCTGAGATCAGAGTTTTATGATTTATAATTTAAAGATATCTGCTATATATTCAGTGAATATGATGGAAGACATTTATGCAATATAATAATGTAGTAAGATGATAATATATTGTACTCATAGTAGGAGTAAACTAGGAAGCCCTATAACTATTACGTTATAATTTTTAAAACCTTTACCCATCTTAATACGACATTTTCAAAGAAGAAGCAATGCATTTGCATATCATTTATTTGTTTGCGTATAACACAGATTACCTCAAGTGTGGCTGAGCAGAGTTTTCTGTTTTTTTTTTCTATTAAAGTTTATAGTCAAAGAAGCTGATATCTGTGACTTCAAACAATGTTGCTGACCCCTGATTCCTTACTTTTATTTCACATTTCTACCTTGAGTTCCAGTGTCCGTCACTTGTGGTCCTCAGTGGCTGCCATCGTCTCTGCCATTTTAGTTCTTTCCCGGGAATGACAGCCAGTGGAGGATCACATTGTTCTTGTGCCTCAAATTCTCTGATGTCTTATCAATGCCAAAGAAGCCCTTCTTTCCATGTCTTCATGTGCACTGGTAGGACCTCTCAGATACTCTACTGTTGCAGCCATAATTACATTTGCAAAACATCGTATATTCAGCAATATAATGTGATCATGAGAGAGACAGCAGGAAGCAAATGTCTTATGAGACAACTAGAACATCCTCCTTTCCTGTGTGAGGTGAGAAAAAGAATATGGTGCCCTTCGAACTTCTGACACATCACACTTGTGTAGAGCATGACATGGCAGGGATGTCACTCAGCCTCTGAAGGAATTCATCATGTTAGTACACTGGCAGCAGAGGTGACCAAGCTTGTGTCCATTGTCATTTTCTCATAGATAGGAAACTTGGCCTTTGTTTCTAAAGCTGAAAGGGAGAAAGGAAATTGGGCACTCTCCAACAGTGCTACACAGTACATGGAAAGAAACAGAAAATCATATGTATTGTGTAGAACATTTGACTATATTTATGGAAAGGAGAAAAACTGACATATTAAAGATTAAGCATCTGTCACATTAAGAGGAAAAACAAACTGTATTCAATATGAGTGTTCATGAGGGTAACGAACATATAGAAGTTGAAGAAATAGAACATGAATATACAGTGGACAATAAGGAATGTATGTAAAATCAGAAGTCTACAATTTATTCTTTTTGAAGAGCAATAAATAGATAATTCTCCAACAAGAGCAATAAAGAAAGAGAAAGAAGAAATAAAGAGAACAATATAATGAAGGTATCAGGACAGAAGTGACCAAATACAACAAACTGATCACATTATAACTGCTGTCTTTGTAATTACTCTGTTTCTCAAAGTTCTTAGAAAGAAAAGACATACATCTTGTCTGTTGCTTGGAATTATCACACAACTGGATGAGAATTCTGCAGTAATGAAAATTGTAGGTCAGTCAGTCCTGGAATACATAATGTGAAAACCTGGAAATAGTTT